TCAATTTTCAAGCTCTCAAAATCGTGACACCCGAGTAGAGAGTAGGAGTACATGAATATACTGATACCACATCCGAATGAGAGGGATTCTGAGATCATAGAAGAATGGTCAAGAAAGCTTAAAAAAAATAATAGTCACTGTCTATACTAACAAGGTGCACCTTCTTTTTCGGTAACTCAATCGAACTTGATGTTGGGCGTTACATTAGGTATTTATTTTCACATTAAATTTCTTTCTATTTTCTTCATTTCCCTTGATGTTTCTATCTTTTCACGTTTTTTCGATTGTGTTTTCTATCAAATTTTTAATATTTTACTTTATGAATAAGTCAGGAAAGTGAACCTTCCAATTGAAAGATGGATGTTGAATGATTTTTTTTAAAGACAAGCAAAATGTTTTTTTTTTTTTTTTGCTTAGTATTTCCTGTTTTTAAATGGTCTATTTTTTTATTTTCTACATTTTAATTATCTGAATTTAAATTTTCTACATATTATTTTATGTATTTTATTTTTAATTTTCTGCATTTTAGTTTTCTACATTTCAATTTATTTTAAAATATAAATACAAATGTATAAATTATATCAATTTTTCATATAACTCCCTTGAACTAGAACTAACTAAACTAAGGGTGCCAAAATTAACCAAAAACACAATTAATCACCACTTGGAGTGACGCAAGATAAAATTAAGGAAATCTCAATTTATGATTATTCTACAATAAGAACCATACAATTCAAGAACAACCAAGATAATTGACCTAAGAATGGAAGAAAACAAAATCTATAGAAGTATTAGAATTACGTGGAACCATTAAATAGATTGATCCTAACCTGCAAGAAGTTGTGGTTGGGGGTTTTCTTCACCTATGCAACCCAGACCAAATATGGACATTCTCTTTGTCGGATAGGAAGCTCAAACTAGGGGTGTTCGAAAAATCCGACAACCTGACGAACCCAACCCAACCCGTAATTAATCCCCAGTCCGGGTTTGGTTGTAAAATTCCCAACTCGACCGGGTTGGGTGGGTCTCGGGTTGGACCTTAAAAAACTCGGGTAAACCCGACGCAACCCGATAATACCTTTATACATACAAACATACATATATATATATAAATTTAATTATTAATATATAATGATTTTTTTATCTTCAATCTCAGCCCTACATTAGTTTTAATTTCTGTTAATGTTTTTTCATTAATTTCATTTTATATTAATGTTGTATACACATACTTATTATAGGTTATAACATATATACTATTTATACTTTTGAAATCAATTATTGTTAATGATATTATAATTAACATTGTGTATGTAGTTCTTTATATTAGGTTATAATTTGCATATCATGTATTATTATAAACTCTAGATAATAATTTGTAGTATTAGGGGTCTAATGAATCTATTGTATATACCTATTTATACTAGGTTATAACTTACAAACGTGGAGGTAGCCACATATTTAGTCGGATTCGTAAGTGTTGTGCCGCCACTTGCTCTTGTTGGAGGCGGGAGGAAGGGAACAACAAGTTTTGGTAGGAGAGAAAGAGAGAGCTTAGGGTTTCATGGAATGAAGGAGAGAGAGGGAGAGAGATGTGATTTTTGAGATTGAAAGAGATTTGAAGTTGAAAAATCACTAAATTGAGGATTTTTCCATATTTGAATTTTTCTTAATTGTCTATTAAATATATATTTAAGAGGGGAAATTTATAAAATTCTAGAGGGGTTTCATCTCATACGGTCTCATTTTAAGACAAAAGTGTAAAATCTTAAACATGAATCTATTTATATAAATTGAATCTTCATATAGTCTAGTGGTGTACTTATCCATTTGATTTTTCCCTTTTACAGGTTAAAAGTAGATAAGTAAGTAACAATAGTAAAGAGATAAAGAGATAATGATAAAATAGCTTAACACCATAGGGTTTATACTAGTTCACCTACATCTTGAAACTATGTTGAGTCTTCTATAAAATCAAGTTCTCCTATGTTTAGGAAATATTACAATCAAGATCTCACTTCAAATATCATATAAAATGACTATCTTGTTTCTAAGTACCCAACAATGGATATTTAGGATTACATAGTTGAAAACAACCTCACTAAACACTAGAGATACAGACTCCTTTTCACACATTGCCTACCACGTATGTCTTTTATTTGGATTCTATACCAATAGAACTTTAACAAAAGAGCTACATTTATAGGAAGCAATATTTAATCCTTATAAGAAACAATATTTCCTTGTGGGAATTTGCAGTAGTTTCAAAAATCATTTTGCTCGTAGGACACAGATCTACTATTTTGGCTTTATTATTCCAACCATCTTCCACTGTAAGACAAAACACTGATCTTAGCCTCCCATTACAACAACAGCCACTTATCATATTGGAATAACTTCAAGTCTTCTTCTGAAACAATTTTCTGATCTTCTTTAGAACGTCAAGGTTTTTCCTGCAAGTTCAACCAACTTGTAAAACAATTGTCGATACCTGAAACTTCCTTCTTCATTCTCAAAACATTGATTCTTGAAAGAAAGAACTACTCACTGATTACTTGACAACTCTATTCAAGTATGCTACCATAATTGAGACTCCACTTGTTACCTCAGCATCTACTAAGTTCATCTTCTCTTATGCAACTGTTTGTTTATGCGACTTCATCAATTCGCTAATCCATATGACAACTGGGGCTACTCCTTGACAACCTAAAGAACCAATTGTTGTTCTCTGGCGCCAATTTTTGTTCTTAAATTGATGGTAGATCCATTTGATATGTTCTAGTTGTTTTGTTGCTGGCTCTGTCTTCTTTGGATACCATCTGCAGCTTGTATCCATTCTCTCTATGATCTTTTGGCAACAGTCAATCTTGCCGTGTAGACTGTAGATTTTTTGTGGCCAACTGCCACCAACTTGAATCCTTCAGTGAGCTTCCACTAGTTTCCACCAAACTCACTCTTATAACCATTATCTTCTGATTTACCCGTAGAGATATACGATTCATTCTGATATTGGCTATATACTTGACATATCACAAAAGTAACTCAGTCACACTGTTAGTCTTTAATAGAATATTTTGAATGTCTTTTATCTTGGAAAACTTTTCATTCCCATCATCACTTGGTTGTGATTACCTCCTTTGAGACATGTGAACAGTCTTCTGTTAGAAGATATGTGTACCAAACTTGTTCTGTCTATTACCCACTTTGATGACTAGTTTCCTAATTTTGTGTTGCTCTCAAGACAAACGAGGGCATCATCCACAAATGCATTTGCCTCCTTCATATACCTTTCCAAATCCTCTTTTAATGTTTTATATCATCTTTCTTGACATGGCATTTTCTGTGGCAATTAAAACATTCTAGTTTTTTCTTCCAATTCCTTAGTTACACTTTTACTACCTATTGTCAAACACAACCTTCTATTTACCTTCTTGGACAATCAATGTTGAGTCTTGTTTAGAAGTAGATTCTTTTCCACTCTTATTTATATGATTTTCTTCAGCAATTTGCGCATTATAGAATTTTTTAACATCTCAGACATTTGTCCCCTAACGAATTAGACACAACTGTCTTCATCGTTTCTCAACTTTCAGGAAAGACGTTAGCGACAAAATAGCATTCACTTCGTCACTAAAAGTAATTTTAACTGATGCTAGTTGATTGATTAAGTTTGTGACCTTATTTATATAGGAATTGACATAAGCATTCTTTTCTATGCAAATGTTAAAAAAAATCTCCTTACATAATATATCTTATTATTAGCATAGTGTTTTTTGTACCTATTCGTTAATGCACTCATCAGATCTATCGTTGTTGTTTCATTTTCCACGAGACTAGTCACATTCATCGACAAACATAATCTGATTATAGCAACTGCATAGTCGTCAATCTCTTCTCAATCTTCATCCTTCATCCTTGATGGTCATTCCTTTCAAGCTTTATTCAACTTCTTGAGGGTCAAGTAATCCTTAATCTATATCTTTCAATATCCAAAATTGGCTCATTGAACTTTATGATTCCTTCAAAGCTTGACTTCTCTGTTGATCCCATGACTTCGAATTAAATGCTCTGATACCAGTAGTCGGAAAAAAAAATATAGATCAATCGATCCTCCGGTCAGTTTTGCAAACATGACCTATTTGATTTTCCCTTACACTGGTTAAAATAGATAAGTAAGTAATAATAATAAATTATTAAAAGATAGAGATAGAAAAACTTAACACTAAAAGGGTTATACTACTTCAACCCAATCTTGGGACTACGTCTAGTCTTTTACAAAAGCATGTTCTACTATGTTTGAGAATATTTACAATAGAGATCTCACGACAAATATCACCTACAATAACTATCTTGGTTTCTAAGTACCCAACAATTGCTACCCTAGGATTACACAATTGGAAAACCCTCGCAAAACCCACTAGATATCGGTTTATCGTGACTTTTTTTAACGTCACAAAAATCTTTCGTGACGTTTTTGACGCCGTCACGTATACGCTCATCACGAAAGGTATACGTGACGTTTAAACTACGTCACAAAAATTAGCACACATGACGGTTAAAGACCGTCATGCAAAACATAGTCTTCCGCAACGTTTGTTAAACGTCATGAAAAATGATTTCCTGACGTTTTAAGAATGTCACAATTAAGACTTTTCGTGACGTTTAAAAAAAGTCTCCGTAAATGAGTAACCGTGACGGCATTTGATTTTGTGACAGTTATACAACATGACAAAAAGACCTTGAGTAGCGAGGAAAGGTCACGTGACATCCTTTCGTGACGTTTTTTAAACGTCACAAAAAAATATTTCATGACGTTCAATAATCGTCTTAGAAACATTTTTGTGACGTTTTAAAAACGACACGAATGATTTTATTTTGTGACAATAAAAAAAAGAATCACAAAAAATGTATTTGATTTTGCTTGCAGATGTCGCGTAATAGAAATATCATATAATCGATCGAACACGCAAATATATTAATTTAGATAACAAAGTTGAAATATATTAAACATGAACAAGGAAGCTAATATATTAATTTAAAATATATTAGTATTCTCAAACACAAATTACAAAATTACAGAATTAAACATGTTCCCCACACACCAACCCCAACGAAGAAGCTCATCCATCAATTAGTTGCATTCCTAATTGTCGACTTCTTTGGGGTCGTGAAAGACCTAATCAAAAAAACAATACCTGAGTTAGATAAATGAATAACGAAAGATAGATAAGGGAAGAACGCCACTTCTAAAAGAACGTGTATATCTATTAAAAATTGCAAATGATCGTGATATTTGCAAATAACATTCTTAAATAAACACACTAGGAGCCTATCACAATAGTAATCTTTGCAAATACAGATTCCAACAGAACAAAATTGATTAAACAAAAACTAACCTGCGTACACTTCTTCTACATCCTTTAGTAATATCGCATAATATTTAAAAATTTAAACAAGTATCACAATGATTGAAAACGTACATTAATCTTCTACAACACTACAAATAATCAACATTCATAGTTTTCCTTATCAACTTACTCGATAATCTGATAAAACAACCAACATAACGACCAAACAAAGATCCCAGCAGAAGAAACGCTAATAGCTAAGTTTTCATAATACTAACTAAATGATAGAAACTAAGAAACACAACTTAAAAAGCAAAGGATCCAGAGGATAATATAAACAAAAAAGTATTTTGATTATACTAATACTACCACAAAAAGTAACTTGGCCAAAATTACATCAAATAAACAAAATGAACGAATCCATAAGTTGGCATATTTCTCATATATGAGAGTACTAGAGTTCTGCACTATTTCTCGTATATACTTTTGCACATAGTACTTGCACTTTATAGTCCCCTCTTGATGAGGATACTATATGTAGAAGATTCAAGAAATAACATAAGTATGAGTTACATAAAAGATTTCAATACAAATTTGATTATGTTTAACAACATCAAAACTTTCATATTTTGAATAGCACGATAGATTTTGAAACTTGTAAAGTCCATATCATAAATAAAGAGAGAGTGACTACTTATCAAAGCAAAACATAGAGATAAAAGACGAATGAGTAGGCATAAGTAAAAAAAAGCATGTCATACCATTGGATATCATGGAGTTGTATATTCCAACTCGTTTGATATTCTCACTAGGGAGTTCATCATTGTCAGGGCTAAAATTTAACATAATCAGTAGTGATAAATTGGTGCTCATGAAGAACCTTATCAAAGCAAAACATAGAGATATTAGATGGGATATATTGGAGGGAGAGTGCACAAAATCAATGTTTTTAAAAATGTATATGATTCAGAATGAAATAAAGGCAAAACCATTCAAATAGCATTTTGAATCGCAAATTTCGTGTTTCGTACTTTTTAAATGATAGAACCCTAAAAAACGAAACGGAACGAAACGATGGATTAAAAAAGAAAAGAATAGGGCTTTTTTACTCACCTAGTAGTGCCATCAATAGCGTGAGAAGCAATAGAAAAGACGAAGAAAGAAGAAGCGATTGAAGAAGAAGAAGAAAGAAGAAAGAAGAAAGAAATTTGGGCGTGGGATGGGATTTGACCGTGCCGATTGGTGGCGGGTCGCCGGAGACAAAAGAAGGAGGGGGTAGGCGGCTACCAAGAGAGGAGGAAGAAGAAGAATATTGGGGAGGCTAGGGTTTTGATTTGATTTTGCTTTCCCTTCTTTTTGTTTTTCTTTTCTTTATTTAACCAAAGAAACAAACCTAAAAATAAACAAAAAATAGGCTAATGTTCTAAAAATGAAAAGAGAAATATATTTTTCATAATATTTCCCTAAAATTAAAACCCAATTAAAGATCTAAGATAATAACATAATTTATCTTAATCCAATGAAAAATAACTTGGAATTCTAATTTTAATCCTAGCATACCCAAAATTATAATCCTGAATTTTTAGAAAATCCAAAAATTTAAAATTATCAGCCTAGAGAAAATCCAAAGATTCAATTTAAATCTTAGTTAGAGAACGCGGGGCGTTACGATTATAATCAAATTGATGTTCATGAATACCTTATTTTTACAAGTCTCTATAGTCTCACTTTTTTGAAACGATAGCGTAGTTTTTTAAAACTTTCCTTCACAATTCATTGTATAGCTTTTATTGTCCATTGTATTTGAATGTTAGGCTATTGTGTGTCAAACCTCAAATTTTTTTATTTTGTAATTTCAAATTTTTTTTAAGCATTAATTAAATCTTTTTGGATTGAAGGAAAAAAATCTATGAATAATTTTGGTATTGAAATATATAGATAAAATGAAAAGGTAAAATGAAAAGATATATGTTTCCCATTTTCCACAAAAATCCTCACATTTTCATGACGTGTCTTAAATGGCACGATAAGGTTATATTTCCAACTTTTCGTGATGTTTTTTAGACGCCACGAAAAAAAGACAGAAATCCGGTTTTTCCGCCAACTTCCTCACTGTTCTTTCGTGACATTTATAAAACGTCACGAAAAAAGTTGTTTGTGACGTTTAAAAATGTCATAGAAAAGTTGAATATTCGAAGAATATCGTCTTTTCCCGTAAAAAAACGCGCCTCTACACTTTGTGACGTTTAATAAACGTCACAAAAAAGGTACTTACTTTCGACTTTTTGGTAACGGTTAGTAAAAATGTCACGAAAAGTCAAAAATCTGAAACATTCCATTATTTCTCATAAAAAACGCGCCTTACTCTTCTGTGACGTTTTTTCAACGTCAAGAAAAACACTTGTTTTGCCAAACTTTTTGTGATGTTTAAAAATTGTCACAAAAAGGTCAAAATTTCATAAATCTCCATTTTTCCCCTCCAAAACGTGTGTTTTTCCTTTGGTGACGTTTTTTTTTATTTGTACAGTATTTTACTGTTCATGTGCGTCACTAAAACCCAAAATGCTAGTAGTGTGCCCACAAAACTCAAGTGATCTCCTTTGTTTAGAATCTGTACAAATAAAATTTTAACAAAAAATCTATATTTATAGGAAGTAATATATACGCACATATATATCCGGACACAAATCTCTTGTTTTGACTTCATTATCCCAACAACATTATATTACACTACGCAACACTTTCTTTTTCCGATGATAAGCTTCTCCTCATATGAGAGGTATTCTACTAATCTTTGCTTTAAGAAAATAATATCAACAAAATTTGGTTAATTAAGATTGTTCGTAATTGTTTAGCATTGCTTTGACTGAAAAAGCTTTAAATCTTTAAAGTCCATCCCTCTCCAAACTTTAGATTTACAAATATATGTTCACACTTTATAAACCAATAATTCCTTTTCTCAAATAGTAGTATGTTGCATCATCATCACCACCAAAATATATGGTCATTGAAGAATAAGTTGTCGGCCGAAAAATGTCAATAAAAATGATATAGTTGACCCTTTTCGAGTAAAATTGACGTCTAAGATGCGTCAATATTAATATTGTTGACGGTAAAAAATAGAAAAAAAATTGACAGTTATTAGTCAACAACAAAAATAGCAAATTTAACATTTTTTAAAGTTAACACCATCGTGGATGAGTAAAAACATTAACTATATATAGTAATTATTGATACTTTTTACGCATCATCAAAGATCAAATTTGTAGTAGCATTGATAATAATTAGTTCTAAGTATTTTAAAGCAACTCATCATATGACTATGCCCATGAAAAATACTATTATAGTCATGATTGCTAGGGGAAAAAGAGTGTTTACCACATATAAACATTGACATTTGGTATTTNATTCAAGAGTTACCCCGTTTTAGTTTCTTTGTTCTTTTCCTTTGTGCTTTCAAACCAAAAATCAATCCATGGATTTTGAATTTATAGAGTGGGAAAATATTTTCTCAAATTTAATAAATTTATGTCTATGTGTCAACGTCAAAATTAATTACAAATATGAATTTTCAAAATTGTAGAGGCAAAAATATTATGTTTGAAATTTTGAAGATCAAAAGTACTGCTTTTGTATATTTTTTTTTTAAAAGAAAAAATCTACCCTTTTAGTTCTTAAAAAATTATGATTAACTTACATTTTGGTGCTTGAATTTTCAAATTTTCAAACTTAATATTCTTTTTGTGTTCCTATTGTATTGTAAATATAAATTTAATAATTTTATGCTACACAAACTTGAAAAATAACTTTAAAAAACTATCTAGTCAGTTCCACATAAGCTAGTCCTAATAAAAAGTTGAAGAGACAAAAAAAAACAATACATTTCTCAGATCTTAAAGATTAAATTGTGATATTGGAGATCAAAATATAACCTAAACCAAATGTTAGACCCAAAATATATAGTGGGCTAAATTAAATGAATTCAACCAAATTTATTTTTGACAACTATTTTTAGGTTCTTTGATTCAAATTCTTAAAACAACATTTTCATCTTTTCAGTACTTTCAAATTTTATTTAAAATTAAAAAAAACACAAACTTTGATAAATATATTATTTCATGTTATAAACTCATTTCATTTTTTTAATTATAACATTTCATTTTTTTTAATTATAACATGTAAAACATAATATATTATCAATAATATAATATAGTAAAATAATAATTATACAAAATTTATAGTGTATATATATTAATAAAGTAATTAATAATATTTTAGGTTATTTTTTTAAATTGAGATTCACCCTCTAAATCTAGCACCGATTAAAAATATTGAAAACAAATTCTATTTTTTATTTGATTTTATCTTTAGATTTCTATTTTCATATCACCGAACGCTCTAACTTTTTTTCAAATAAAAAGAAAAACATAAATAAAAGATGTATGTGAAAAATATTGAAAGAGAATAATATAGCAGAAATGGGTCCCTCCAAAAATGATGTGCATGTGAAGACTGCAGAGGCACTGCAAACATATGCAACGCACGTGCCAATACTTTTCACCTACTGATTTTCATGTGCCAACCATAATTCAACGCAAAAATCCCTTTTTCTTTTCTTTTTTTTAAACAATAATTCAACTAAAAATAATTATATTAAATTTTATCAATCTTTCATATATTCATGAGTTCCGTATAGACGGTAGAAAATCGATACTTCTATGATGTTATAAAAAAATATCAATAAAATAACATCATAATATCATTAATACTTATATAAAGTGAATATTAATAATTTTTAACTGAAATACTATTTGAGTAATTTTATAAATTTTTCGCTTTAGGATTTTTTCTGAAATATTTATCAATAGCAACATTTTTTAAATATTTTCATCGAAATATCTATAAAATGAGAATATCAACATTTTGAACAATATTGAAATTTAGGACCTTAAATTCAACTTAGGAAAAAAAAACTACTTATTCTTTTATTTTATTTTTTAATATAATCAAAACTCCATGTCTTTTTGTTTTTACATCGTACTTTGGAGGTTGCTTTGACAGCTTATGTTTTGTGGACGTTTGCCTGCCCACCTTCAAATTTGTACTCTCTCTTTTCAAACATATACATCAAATTTTGGAGATTTTTTAAATAAAATATTGTTTCTTTTCTCGTTATTTGTTTTTTTTAGTACTACCATTTTGTTATATATTCAAGTTCTATAATAGGTAAAATTAACTTGAACTAGAAAAAACTTCTATAATTGAATAGGTAAACCTCTTCTTCTTTTTTTTTTTTTAAGAAATCTTGATAAATTTGTTATGGGAACCAATTATAATAAGATTGTTGAACTTTTGGTAATATAACTTAAAAACGTGTATATTGTTATAGGAAGGAAATGGACATCGGATTAAACAACCGAAAAGGAGGAATGGAGCCGAATAAGGAACGGGCCCGTGAAGCAAGGTAAGTGGGTCGGGACCCAGCAACCCGAGTCGGCCATAGCCTACAAAAGGTCGGTGCCGAGCAGGACGACCCAATGGTCGAGAACCTCATCAGTTCTCCCTGACCTCTGCTAGGTTTCGACCTATGTGAGTCTTGAAGGGAATAGGATTCGACTTATGTAAATCTTAAAAGAATTAGGATTCGACTTCTATAAATAGGAGGGTGAGTCAAACCCTAAAGATATGCCAAAAGACCCTACTCTTTACTATGCTACAAATCTCTATTCTTTGCTATGTAAAAACACAATATTCTTCCTATTTGACTACTCCAATTTTGACTTAAGCATCGGAGCCTGTGTGGCGAGAGCCACACCGGTCTTTAATGCTCCTCTATTTTGCAGGTCTTGTCGATCCCTTTTATTCTATAAGATTGGTGCGAATTTGGCGGAATCCCAAGAAGCCAAATTTCTATAGTAATATATATATATCAATTGAAATGTGATAAAATAAAATAATTCTTGTGAACCAAAATTTTTAATGGAATCATTATTGAGAAGGAGATTTTTAGTTATTTAAATGTTTTTTTTTGTTGACAACAGTCTATAAAGTCAACTTGTTGACCATTTATCACTATTCTTTGTTTATGGTGATTTCTAAACTACTCGAGAATGGGCAAGCATTAAGTTTTGAGCTTTCGAAGCAAGCTCAGAGAAGAAAGACCTGCCCACAGAAAAAAGACACTCGGACGCTCTAAGTCAGTAAAAAGTCGATCTTAGATCTCAAGCTGAAGAATCATATATTGCATATGTGAAGTCACAAAGATACTCCTATTTATAAGGTGTCAGGTGGTGGAGTTTGCATAACTATTATGTTAGGTCCTTGGCGAATTAGTTATGCGATTACTATTG